GCAATGATAATTGCTAATAAAATTAACTTTTAGGCAAAAACCAGCATAAGATAAAGAAGGACATTTTCTCATGATTAAAGGGTCAATTGAACAAGATTACATAACCATAACAAATATCTATGTTCCCAATGAAATTGCCCCAAAATACACAATGCAAATTCTAATAGAAATGAAGAAAGAAATAGACAAATCTGCAATAATAGTAGGAGGCTTTAAAAAAACAAACAAAAAAAACTTTGGCATTTTTATTCAGACATGTATAAAAACAAAACATAAAACTTAAGTGATAAAACAGACATTTCCACCCTATTTCCTTTCCATCCAAGAGGAGAAAGGTCTAGTTGGGTTCCCTTTCGGTGCCAACTCACTACTGGGTAAGAAGAGCTTGTAAAAATAGATTTTAGAGACCCTTGTGAGTCTGTCCTTGGGTAAGGGGTGGAGATAATTAATAGTGGGAGATTTTAATACACCACATTCAAAAAAGGAAAGAACAACCAGAACAAAACTCAACAAAGACACAGAAGAACTAAACAACACTATCAACCAACTTGACCTCATAGAGCATTCAACACAACAACAGTATAATACACATTGTTTTCTAGCACACCTGGAACATTCTCCAGAATAGACCATGTGTTAGGCCACAAAACAAGCCACCATAAATTTACAAACATCAAAATACTGTAAAGCATCTTCTTAGATCACAATGCTATCAAATTAGAAATCAACAATAGGAACACCAAGGAAATAAAGTCAAATACATGGAAACTGAATAACACCCTGCTGAAAAGTGACTGGGTAGTAGAACAAATAAAATGTGAATTTATAAAATTCCTAAAAACAAATGAGAATGAAAACACAACACACCAAAATCTTTGGGACATGGCGAAAGCAGTGCTAAGAGGACAATTTATTGCAATAAACACACACATCCCAAAAGAAGAAAGAACCAAAATTAACACAGCATCTCCAACAATTAGAAACAGACCAGCAAAGTGAATCTACAGTCACCAAAAGAAAACTAAAAATAAAGATTAGAGCAGAAATAAACGAGATAGAAAACAGTAAAACTACACAAAGAATCAACAGGATAAGAAGCTGGTTCTTTGAAAGGATTAATAAAATTGACAAACCACCTAACAGAAAAGAGGGAGAAGACACAAATAACATGCATAAGAAACCATCTGGGTGTTTTTATAGAAATAAAAAAGATGATAATAGAGTACTATGAAGAGTTGTACGTCAACAAATTTGAAAATCTAGAGGAGATTTTTAGAAAAACACGACCTGCCTAGACTTAAACACAAAAGAAGAAATTGATCAGGTCATCAAAGAACTCCCAACCAAAAAAAGTCCAGGTCCTGATGGCTTCACTGGTGAGTTTTACCAAACATTCAGGGAAGAGCTGTCACCAATTCTACTCAAATTATTCCAGAATGCAGAAAAGGATGGAAAACTTCCTAATACATTTTATGAAGCAAAAGCATAACGCTGATACCAAAACTAGGGAAGGACATCATTAAGAAAGGAAATTATATACCAATATCCTTCATGAACATAGATGCAAAAATTATCAACAAAATCTTAGCCAACAGAATTCACCAACACATAGACTCTCAAACATTGTAAGAATTGCACAAATAGAGAAGACAAAATAGATGATTGGGACATACTAAAAATGAGAAACTTATGTGCATTAAAATATTTCACCAAAAGAGTAAAAAGGGAGCCCATAGAATGGTAAAAAATGTTTTGCAATGACTTATCAGACGGGGGACTAATTTATAAAATCTACAGGAAACTATAACACCTCCACCAGAAAAAGACAAATAACCCAATTAAAACATGGACACAGGACATGAATAGACACTTCATCAAGGAAGACATTCAGGCAGCCAACAAACATATAAAGAAATGTTCACAATCATTAGCTATTGTTGTTGTTAAGTGCTGTCGAGTTGATTCTGACCCGTAGCAACCCTGTATAGGGTTTCCAAGGAGCAGCTATTAGAGAGACACAAATCAAAATTAACAATGCGATATCATCTCAGACCAGCAATAACAGCAAAGTTCAAAAAAACAGAGGACAATAAATACTGGCAAAGATGTAGAGAGACTAGAACCCTCTTATATTGTTGGTGGGAATGTAAAATGGTTCAACCACTCCAGAAAATGGTATGGTGCTTTCTTAGAAAGTTGGAAATAGAAATACCTTGTGATACAGCAATTCTCTACTTGGTATTTATCCACAAGAAATACAAGCCAGAACATGAGTAGATATGTGCATACCAATATTTATCACAGCACTATTCACAGTAGCAAAAATATGGAGACATCCTAAGTGCCCGTCAATGGACGAATGGATAAACAAACTTTGGTACATATATACAATGGACTATTATGTTACCTTGAAGAATAACAATGAAGTTACAAACTACGGAATAACATGGATGAACCTTGTGGCCATTGTTCTGAGTGAAATTGTTGTTATTAAGTGCTGTGGAGTAGGTTTCAACCCATAGTGACCCTGTATAGGCTTTCCGAGGAGTGGCTGGTGAGCTTGAACCGCCAACCTTGCGGTTCAAACCGACTTCGCAGTCCAGCACATTAACCCACAGTGTCACACCAGCAGTGAAATTAGTCAGTCACAAAAGGACAAATATTGCATAAAACCATTACTTTAAAAGCTTAAGAAAAGATACCCATACCAAAAAAAAAAATTCTTTGTTGGTAATCAGGGGTAGAAAGAAGGGGATAGTACAGCACAGGTTAGGGGATAGTGACATAATTTCTCAGGTGTTGGGGAGGGCAACATACAAGGAGGGGGAGGGCAAAACACAAGGGGGATGGTACAAGAACAAGGTAGATAGGGGAACACTTAGGTAGGTTTGCATGGGCTAAATCAGAGGTAAATAGTGATGTATGCTCCATCTTGGAACAACAGGGCTCTGTGATAAAGTGATTGAGGCATAGTCTGAATGGGTAAAAGAGGGAAAATAATTTAAGATGCTTGACTGTCTTAGGGATATTAGCTTCCCTTGCCTACTATTGTAAAATAGACACTTGAGTGGGATAGAAGGGAATATTGGGAAATATGATTACAGAAAACTTACTTGTAAGTCCGTCTTCAGTCTATAACTGATGGGAATACCTATAAGGGGTTCTAGAACTTGCCCAGTGAAAGTTCTTCTGTGGAGCCTTTGTTGATTATAGGACCTTATAGAATCCTGAGCCCCATCCAGAACCTTCTGAGGTGGGCCAGTCCCACTTGAAAGGACAAGCAGACCAGCCTGGAGTGGCTAGAGGAACAGAAGATACTTCTTGAAAGAAAGACCAGTAGGAAAATACAAAAATAAAAACAAGAATGGCAGTTTGTTTGGCGATTACAAGATCAAGCTGTTTTCTGGGGAGCCATCAAAGCAAGCAATCAAGTCCCTTCAGGAAAACCCCACTACAAGACTGAACTCAAAGAGAACACACAAGTAGGCATGTAAGCTTGCAGGTGGGTGACCACTTTGGTATACATGTGAGTGGAAGTGGGGGAAAGTCAGTAACAAAGATATGGGCTGAGTTTGAGCACGTTGCATAGACTCCTTGAGATGAGTGACAGAAGAGGAAGGTCTGAAGTTTGGGGAGACTTGGGAACTCCTGAGCCCATGGACACTGACCTAGCTAGCCACAGAGGGCTAGAGCTGAGAGTGAAGTGCCCGGCTGATCTGAAGTGAGGGGGCCTTGAATATAAATAATTTGCTTTTATAAATAAATAATATTATGCTGCTGCTGTTGTGTCCCATTGAGTTGTTTTGATTCATAGCGACCTTGGATAGAGTTTTTGGGGCTATAAATCTTAATGGGAACAGAAAGCTTCATCTTCCTTCTATGGAATAGCTAGTGGATTCCAACTGCTGGCGCTGTGGTTAGCGGCCTTACTTGTTACTATGCTACCAGGGTTCCTTAAATAGCATTATGTTGTTGTTGTTAAGTGCTGTCAAGTCAGTTCCGACCCATAACGACCCTGTATAGGGTTTCCAAGGAGCAGCTGGTGAGCTTGAACCGCCAGCCTTGCAGTTCAAACGGCTTTGCAGTTCGCCGCATTAACCCACAGTGCCACACCTGGACTCCATTATATAGTCCTAATATTAAATAGGTGTTGTGCTGTGGGTTAATGTGCTGGACTGCAACGTCTGTATGAACTGCAAGGTCAGCGGTTCAAGCTCACCAGTTGCTGCTTGGAAACCCTATACAGGGTCACTATGGGCCGGAACCAACTCAACGGCACACGTCACAACAACAACAATGTTAAATATTCTAATTATAATACATTTATTAACTCGGACTGAGTAAACTAGGTTGAGTGAACAGTAATTACATTGATATATTCTAATTTTTTTAAAACAAATTTAACAGAAAAAAGGGCAAAATAAAAGTATGTGATAAGTCTAAAATTAAAATACTGATCTTAAGTGTATGTGAAGGAAGTCTCACCCATAAAGGTAGGATATTTAGATGCCCAGCTTAGTTGAATCAGAGAAAACTAAAAAATGATTTTCATAAAACCAAGTTTGGAAATTACTATGCATTTTTTGTTTTTTGTTTTAAAACAAGAGTTTTCTGGCCCTAATACTCCCTTTCAAAGCTGCATCCACATTTTTAAGTCAAAACCTAGCTCTACTACTGATAAAATTCTTATATGCATAAGGTATCTATGTCTTGGGTTGTCTATCTTAGACTTGCTAGCTATGGATATCTTCAAAGCACATTCAAATTATGTAGTAAAGCAGTTTTCCCAAAGATGATGGGTGTTTCACGTGTAGAAAAAAAGTAATTTTCAGTACTTAAAATGTTATAATTGTCCTCTATAATCAGATTGGCATAAAACAAACTCCTCATTGCGCAAAGTTTAAGCACTGACGTAAAGAACTCACACATTAAAATGATAAGATTAAAGCTACATAAGAACCAGCGTATCAAACCGGATGTATTAGGATAATTAATTGTATTTAAAGAATTATTTTTCTTTTCCCTTCTGTAGGTGAAGATGGCGTAATAGGATTTACCACAGTTACTTTAGAGTCTCCAAAAGCATTGCTGGCAGAGACCTGACTGCGAGGTAGTTGGCATAGCTTTTCACTTTTCACAGTCTCAGCTGGTCCTTTCATAACAACTGGACTTATTTGGTCATCTTTTAAGACATAGCCTGATCCAAAGAGTTCTTCCATTAGGCTGCTTTTCTTATCTCTGAAAGTTGTGCTTTTTGCTTTTGTTCTGGAGGACTTACCAAAAGAAGGTTCGTACCCACCAGCTGAATGTTCTAGTTTCAGTTCTGTATCACCACGCTGTCTGCAGGTACTGTGATTGCTTCTTGTGATGCCTGCACTGGCTGAACCACTTGAAGTAGGAAGTCCATGATGCAAGTTTTCAATCGTTTCTGTGAATGAGTAATGCTTTCTTTGTCGTAAGTGTAGCTTGACATTTGGAACAGCATACTTGTCGGCTAGCTCACCCAGGTCATTAACTGGTACGCTCTCACATTTTTCTTTTACTAAGTCATCTTCCTGATTGCTTTCCTCTTCAGGATGAATTACTGGAATATTTTTTGGTGGTAGGACTTGTTCTTCTATAGTTAAAATGATTTTCCTTTCTTTAGCTTCCCTTTTCTCTCTTTTTCTCTTGTCAGTATTCTCCACAGGTGCTTGTATTTCTAGACGTACCTCTTCTTTGGACAAGTCTATATTACAAAAACAGACAATTTAGTGGTCTTTAAAATGAATGGATTCCCATTTTAAGATGGCATTTTCAGCATACTTATTTATACCTCCTGACAAGCACAGTATAAAGACAGAAAATAAATCTATAAAGATATTTACTATTTCTAAGCATGAAATCTTACACTTTCCTAGAATTTGCCCAAGAGTTGGGAATTATGACACAGCTCAAAAAAAAAAATGATATTCATAGGAGAAGAAATAAAGTTTGCCAATGATTAACAGATATTCACCATTACTACTTGGGAGTTGGATAAATGGAGAAAAGATTGTAGTTGGGTGTATGATGTTGACACAGTGAGAACATTTGTAACCACCCAAAGTGGCATTTCATTTCCAGAATAAGTCTTTGCTGGAGCCATCTTAATCCACCCTCCTCAGCCTTTCCTGCCCCTCTCCCTCTTCTGTTTTATTCTCCTGTACAGCACTCATTATAAAACATACTCCAAACTCATCTTCTTCAATGTCTGTCTCCTTGTACATGAGGGTAGGGATTTTTGATTTTGTTCACTGCTGTTTCCCCAATACCGGACACAAAAAAGTTTTTCTCCAATGAATGAATAGGCTTTCTAGGGAAATATGAATTGCTACATGTGACTGCAAAATAAGTGGGGAAACGTAAATAGATGAGTAAACATAGAAAGAAAGATGACTGATGAGCAGCTTCCAGCAAACTGCACCAGGCATGGTGGCTTTGCAGAAGAGTGTGTCAGACCTTTGTGTTATTTAAACTTTATTCTATGGCTTATTGTGCCTCACATCGAAGGTGTGGTCATTCTGGAGCCTCTACTGAACATCTGGTATGTTCAATGAGGGCTCCTCACTGTAGTTCAAAGGAATGCAAACGATTCACAGTCCTGTGGGACCCCTGACTGTTGATTGATCATCAAGAACTGATTTTTCCTCTGGTGTTGTTTCTGCAGTTCTAAGGGGTTTTAAGAAGCTTTGGTAACGTAGTAGTTATGAATCAAGCTGCTAATCTTATGGTCAGCAGTTCGAAACTACCAGCTATTCCACAGGAGAAAGATGAGGCTTTCTGCTCCCATAATGATTTACAACCTCGGAAACCCTATACAGAGTTGCTGTGAGTCGGAACGGACTCCGTGGCACATAACCACCACCATGGGGTTTTACCTAAACTTCTCATTAGTAATAATGCAACATGAGAACAAAGGGGCCTGTTTTCTGGGGGGAAATTGTCTCCGACCTAGAATGCTTTATTTAGCCAATATTAGTCAAAGCACAAGGACAGAATAATGACATTTACATACAGGAAGTTACATGCATTGACCTTGTTGTTAAGTGCCATTGAGTCTGTTTTAATTCATAGCGATGCTTTACAGGGTTTCTCAGGAGTAGCTGGTGGGTTTGAACTGCCAACTTTGTGGTTCACAGTCCAGTGCTGACCTTACAGCACCATACCAGGAGTCCATGCAATGACCTTACATGCTCCCAACCTCAAGAAGCTACTGGAGGCTCTGCTTTTAAAAAAATTTGCCAAGGACCGGGAAAGACACAGTTTAGGAGACAGAAGATCTAGTAAAGAAGTGGGGTGAGAGGAAAACGGTAAGGGAGATCCCAGAAGACAGCTGTGTGGCTGAATACAGGACAAGCAGTCTAGCGGAGAGGACAAAGAAATGTGAAGGACTGGCATCCCAGGACCCTGCTCTGTTACATCTTCCATATACCGAGTGCAGGGTGGGCAAATGAAGCTGTGGCACTCTCTCAGGTACCCTGCAGCATGTGCTATCTGAACACTCTTGTTCCATCCATGTAAGCTTTTAGCTTTGACCTGATTCTGAGAGTTAGAAGTACTTTTAGTGACCTTGTTGTTGTTGTTGTTAGGTGCCATTGAGTCGGCACTGACTCATAGCGACCTTATACACAGCAGAATGAAACACTGCCTGATCCTGAGCCAACCTCACTACTGTTGCCACACTTGAGTCCATTGGTGCTGCCACTTGGCCAATCCATCTCGCTAGGTCTTCCTCTTTTTCTCTGACCCTCCACCCTACCAAATATGATATCCTTCTCCAGCGACTGCTCCCTTCTGACAATATGTCCAAAGTATGAGAGACGAAGTTTGGCCATCTTGGCCTCCAAGGAGCATTCCGGCTGCTCTTCTTCCAAAACAGATCTGGTTCTTTTAGCAGCCCATGGCACTTTCAATATTCTCCTCCAACACCATAACTCAAAAGCATCAATTCTTCTATGGTCTTCCTTAGTGACCTTAAAAGCAGAAAATTCTAGGCATATCATTCTCTGTGGCGCCATCTCTCTGTAACTTCACAGAGTAGTTCTGCCAGATGTTTGACTCCAAATTACAAGCACTCCCTGAACCAACCACCACCCAACTCTGATTTCTTCAGCATCAGAGAAGATGAAGCCAGTCACTGTTCAGTTTATCTTTTCCTGAAAGTCTACATCTAATTGTGCCCTTTACCCAGGTGGATATGTGTTTGCTACTTGCTTTTTTTTTTTTTTTTAAGTATATATATACACACACACACACACACATTTCTGGTGTGGTGCTGCATGATAATGCACTGGATTATAAGGTTGGTTTGAACCTCAAGGTCAGTGGCTCAAATTCACTAGCTGCTCCTCAGAAACACTTTACAAGGTCTCTGTGAGTCAGATTTCGACTGCGTGAATCATGACAAGCTATGGACAACATTGAGGAATTGTCCATATGTATTCCAGAAGATTTAATTGTGCTCATGAAGAATCTGTACATTGACCAAGAGGCAGTTGTATGAACAGAACAAGGGAACACTGAATAGTGTTCTTTCATATATTTATTCAATCTGTATGCTAAGCAAGTAATTTGAGAAGCTGGATTATATGATGAAGAACATGGCATCATGATTGGAGGAAGACTCATTAACAACCTGTGATATACAGAAGATACAACCTTGCTAGATGAAAATGAAGAGGACTTAAGATACATACTGATGAAGATCAAAGACCACAGCCTTCGGTATGGGTTGCACCTCAATGTAAAGAAAACAAAAATCCTCACCACTGGACCAATAAATAACAACAAGATAAATGGAAAAAAGACTGAAGTTGTCAAAGACTTAATTTTTCTCAGATCAACCATCAACACTCATGGAAGCAGTAGTCAGGAAATCAAACAACGTATTGTATTCAGCAAATCTGCTTCACAAGACCTCTTTTAAAGTTTTGAAGAGCAAAGATGTCAGTTTGAGGATCAAGGTGCACCTGATCTAAGCATTGGTTTTTATAATAGCCTCATATAATGTGTGAAAGCTGGACAGTGAATAATGAAGATGGTAGAAGAAATGGTGCATTTGAGTTTTGGTGCTGGAGAATATTAAAGATCCCATGGACTGACTGCCAAAAGAACAAACAAATCTGTGTTGGAAGAAGTACAGCCAGAATGCTCCTTAGAAGCCAGGATGGCCAAACTTTGTCGCTCAAACTTTGGACATATTGTCAGGAAGTACCAGTCCCTGGAGAAAGACATCATGCTTGGAAAAGTGGAGGGTCAATGAAAAGAGCAAGACTCTCAACAAAATGGATTGTCACAGTGGCAGCAGCAATGGGCTCAAGCCTAGCAACAATTGTGAGGTTAGTGCAGTATTTTGTTCTATTGTGCATAAAGTTGCTATGGGTTGGTACCAACTCAACTGCACCCAACAACAACAACAACAAAAACAACAAATGAGTTGGAACTGACTTCACGGGACTTAACAAGAGAAACATATATATGAACTCCTGAGTTTAAACCATTTATCTCCTTGTTCTGTTCAAACAACTGCATCTTGGTCTGTGTATAGGTTCTATATGAGCACAATTAAGTGTTTTGGAATCTCATTCTTCAGAATGTTATCCATAATTTTTTATGATCCTTACAATTGAATATCTTTGCATAGTTAATAAAGCTCAAGTAAACATATTTTGGTATTCTCTGCTTTCAGCCAAGATCCATCTGATGCCAGTAATATTATCTCTCATTTCATATTGTCTTCTGAATCGGGTCAGAATTTCTGGCAACTCCCTGTTGACATACGGCTCCAAGCATTTTAAGAATTATCTTCAGCAAAATTTTACTTGTGTGTGTTATTAATGATGTTGTCTAACGAAGTGCAGCCAGAGTGCTCCTTGGAGGCCAGATGGCCAACATTGTGTCTCTTGCTTTGGACATATTGTCAGGAAGGACCAGTCACTAGAGAAGGATATCATGTTTGGTAAGGTGGAGGGTCAGAGAAAAAGAGGAAGACCCCCAACGAGATGGATTGGCCAAGTGGCAGCATCAATTAGCTCAAGCAGCAACAATAGTGAGGTTGACCCAGGATTGGGTAGTGTTTCGTTCTGCTGTGCATAAGGTCGTTATGAGTCGGTACCGACCTGATGGCACGTAATAACAACAACACTCTGTTGGGCCTACCTTCCTTTGAAACAGGCACAAATATGGCTCTCTTCCAGTTGGTTTGAGGCAGAGTGGGGGCCAACAAGGCTTGAGCAAACTGCCTACAGGACAGAACTCAGGCAAGCACAAAACTAATGAATAAAGAGTAGCTCTTACTTTCTTTAAGCCAACTGGTTTCATCCCTGTAAGAGTTCGCTTACTTTACTCCTTTGTAATTTCTCTTTCAAGCCAGGTGCCAGGTATTATCCACACATGCATACAACCTTGAAAAACAACAGATGAATGATCTTGCACTGGGAGTGGAGGAAAACACCAGCCCCTGGAGGTAGGGACTTAAATTGGAGTCCTGAAGAACTATACATGTGTAACATCCCAGAACAAGTCTGACAACTCCGCCCAACAACTTCTGCTGCTAACTCCATCTTGAAACTAACCTGCTCATGAACCCTATTATTGTTGTTGTTAAGTGCTTTTGAGGTGGTTCCTAGTCATAATGATCCTGTATATAGGGTTTCTGAGGCTGTAAATCTTTATGGGAGCAGAAAGCCTCATCTTTCTTCCTTGGAGTGGTGGGTGGGCTCAAACCACCAATCTTGTGGTTAGTAGTCCATTGTTTATCCTACAGAGCTGCTGCACTCCACTAACCATAACTCTACCTAAAATGGACTGTGGTGGTGGTGGTGTGCCCTCTAGTCAGTTCTAGCTCATTGCGAACCTGTATAGGGTTTCCGAGGCAGTAAATCTTTATGGGAGCAGAATTCTTCATCTGTCTCCTGTTGAAGGACCTAAATGGGCTACTCCCCAGAAAACCCCACCTATCTCTATGAATAAACACAATGCCTTTCCCCATCAGGAACATTTCGAAACCCCAGCTAAACCTTTGTTTGGATTCTTGGTGTGGCACTGTAGGTTCAGCCCTGGACTTTGAACCACAAGGTCAGCAGTTCATACCCACCAGTCATTCCTTGAAAACCCTATTTAGGCATGCTATGAGTTGGAACTGACTTGACAGCATTTAACAACAAACCTCTGTTTCATGCAACAGATGTATTTTGTCAATTCCTGGAGCCTTGTATTTCACAAATGCCTTCAGTGCAGCTTTAACTTTTTCCTTCAGTACATTGGTTCTTGATCATATACTACTTCCTGAAATGGTTGAATGTTCACCAGCTCCTTTTGTGTTAGTGACTCTGTGTATTATTTCCATCTTCTTTTGATGTTTCCTGCATCATTCAGTATTTTGCCCACAGAATGCTTTAGTATTGTATATTGTGATTTTTTTTCTTCAATTCTTTCAACTTTCTCTGAGAAATGCTGATTGTGTTCTTCCTTTTTGGGAATGATCACAGCAAGTTTCAGAGTCTCTTCTGACATCCACTTTGGCGTTTTCTTTCTTTCTTTTCATTTTCATGAACTTTTGCTTTCTTTTTACATGTGTTCTTGATGTTATCCCACAACTTGTTTGGTCTTCGGTCATTAGTGTTCAATGTGTCAAATTCATTTTTGAAATGGTCTCTAAATTCAGGTGGCATATATTCAAAGTTAAGGATCTCTGGTAGCATAGTGGTTATGAATTGGGCTGCTAACCTCAAGGTCAGCAGTTTGAAACTACCAGCTGTTCCATGGGATGAAGATGAAGCTTTCTGCTCCTGTAAAGATTTACAGTCTTAGAAATCCTAAACAACGTCACTATGAGTTGGAACAGACTCCACGGCATACCACCACATTCAAAGCTGTATTTTGGCTCTCGTGGACTTTGTTGTAATTTTCTTCAGCTTTGGCTTGAACTTGCATATGAGCAACTGATGGTCCATTTCATAGTGGGTCCTAGCTTGACTGATGATATTGAGCGGTCCATAGTTTCTTTCAACAGATGTTGTTAATTTGATTCCTGTGTATTTCATCTGGCTAGGTCTACATGTATAAACACAGTGCCGTTGAGTAGATTCTGACTCATAGTGACCTTGTTTTGGAGGCTGTAAATATTTACAGGAGCAGAAAACCTAATCTTTCTTCCACTGAGTACCGGATAGGTTTGAACTGTGGACCTTGTGGTTATCAGTCCAGTGCTTATCTTACAACACCACCAGGGCTCCTCCTTAGGTCCACATGTATAGTAGTTGTATATATTGTTTAAGGAAGGTATTTGCAATAAGGAAGTCATTGGTCTTGAAAAATTCTATCATACAATCTGCAACATCATTTCTATCATCAAGACCATATTTTCCAACTACTGATCCTTCCTCTTTGTTTCCAACTTTTGCATTCCAATCACTGGTAATTATCAATACATCTTGATTACATGTTTGATCAATTTCAGACTGAAGTTGGTAAAATTCTTCAATTTAATCATCACTAGCTTTAGTGGTGTGTAAATTTAAATTAGAGAAGTATTAACTGGTTTTCCTTGTTGTGATTGTTAGGTGCTGTTGAGTCGGTTTCAACCCATAGTGACACTATGTACAATCGAAAGAATCCACTTCTGTGCCATCCTCACAATTGCTGCTACGCTTGAGTCCATTGTTGCTGCCACTGTGTTATTCATCTTGTTGGGATTCCTCTTTTTAGCTGTCCATTGGTCTGCTAACCTCAAGGTCAGTATTTCTAAACTACCCGCCATTTCATGGTGGAGAAATGAGATTTTCTGTTCTCGTAAAGATTTAGTTTCCAAAACCCTATGCAGGGTCGCTATGAGTTGGAACCAACTCTATGGCACACCACCACCACCACTTTACCAAAGAGTCCTGGTGTGGCACTGTGGGTTAATGCACTAGACTTCCAGGTTGGTTTGAATCTCAAGGTCAGTGGTTCAAGCTCACCAGTCACTCCTGGAAACCCCATGCAGGTTCACTATGAGTCGGAACTGACTCGATGGCACTTAACAACAACAACCACTTTACTAAGCATGATGTCCTTCTCCAGGGACTGGTCCCTCCTGATAATATGTCTAAAGTATGAGAGATCAAGTCTGGCCATCCTGGCTTCTAATGAACATTCTGGTTGTATTTCTTCCAACACAGATTTGTTTGTTCTTCTGGCAGTCCATGGTACTTTTAATATTCTTTTCCAACACCATAACCAAATGCTTTAATACTTCTACAGTCTTCCTTACTTATTGCCCGACTTTCACATGCATATGAGGACACTTTAGTCCTCAAACTGACACCATTGCTCTTGAACACTTTAAACAGGTTTCGTGCATCAGATTTGCCTAATGCAATACATTGTTTGATTTCTTGACTGCTGCTTCCATGAGTGTTGATGGTGGATCCAAGCAAAATGAAGTCTTTTCTCCATTTAGCATGATGTTATTTATTGGTCCTGTGTTGAAGATTTTTTGTTTTCTTTGCATTAAGGGGCAACTCATGCTGAAGGCTGTGGTCTTTGATCTTCATCAGTAAGTATTTTAAGTCATCTTCATTTTCAGCAAGAAAGGTTTGTATCATTTGCATATCACAGGCTATTAATGAGTCTTCCTCCAATCCTGATGCCACATTCTTGCTTATATAATCCAGCTTCTCAAATTATTTGCTCAGCATACAGATTGAATAAGTATGGTGGAAGAATATAACCCCTGGTGCATAACTTTTTCAACTAGTGCCTGTTGGTCTATGTACAAGTTCCTCACGAGCACTATTAAGTCTTCTTGAATAATTATTCTCTTCAATGTTGTCCATAGTTTCGCATGATATATACAGTTGAACGCCTTTGCACAGTCAATAAAGCATGGGTGAACATCTTTCTGGTACTCTCTACTTTCAGCCAAGATCCATCTGATATCAATGATATCTCTTGTTCCTTATCTGAATTTGGCTTGAACCTCTGGTAGTTCCCTGTTAATGTGCAGTTGCAGCTACTTTTGTATGGGTATTAGCCTATCACAGACAACATTGTACTTCAAGATTGATCTTGAAATGCTCTTTTTGATGATGAATGCGACACCATTCTTCTGGAATCTATCATTCCTGGCATAGTAAACCATGATTGTCTGATTCAAAATGGCCAATACCTGTTCATTTCAGCTCACTAATGTCTACGCTACTGATCTTTATGGGTACCATTTCACTTTTGATGATTACCAATTTTCCTAGATTCATATTTTGTACAGTTGCATCTGTTTCTTCTCATTTTGAGTCATGCCCAATCAGCTAATGAAGATTCCAAAAGCTTTACTCTACCCATGTCACTAAGATTGACTGTACTTTAAAGAGATAGCTATTCCTCAGACATATTTTGAGTTTCTTCTAAACTGAGGACTCATATTCAATAAATATGGTGAACAAATACAACCCTGGCACATACCTTTCCTAATTTTAAACCACTGAGTGTCTCTTTGTTCTGTTCATACGACTGCCTCTTGGTTTCTATACAGATTCCTGTCAAGCACAATTAAGTATTCTGGAACACTGTTTAGTAGCCCTATATCATACAGTGTCTTCCTGGTATTCAAAAGGTTTTTAGTGAGTAATCCCTCAGAAGTGAATAGTCAATTCCTTCTTCCTAGTCTGTCTTAGTCTGGAAGTTCTGCTGAAACCTGCCCTCTATGGGTGACCCTGCTGGTATATGAAACACCAGTGCCATAATTTCCAGCATCAAAGCAACATGCAAGCTACCACAGTATGCCAAACTGACAGACATGTGGGGATCAATATCTATATTTATATCTGTATTTAAATATTTTATTATGAGTTGGGTGAGGCTTTACAGAGCAAAATAATTTTCCATTCAACTTAGGAAAACCACAGGAATGGCTGGCATGGAAGTCAGAATGATGAGCACTCCCATTGGGCAGGAGAGGAGACAAGGGCCCCTAGATGTCTAGGAAACACTAATGTGCTCATTTTAATTATTATGTACATTTTATATACATTTTGAGATTCTGTAAAAATTTTTTTTAAAATTCACAGTATTAAAAAAAAAAATCAAATAAGAATAAAAGAGACTTTAAGGTTTTTAAAATTACCTTCATGCTTTTTCTTAGGATCTTGGTTTGGTAGTTTACTGATATTGTGAGAAATTTCACAGTTTATTTCAGTTGATTTTTCTTTATGAGCAATGTTTCCTGTTGGCTTTTTAGTCTATTAGAAAAGCAGCAAAAACACATTTCTTGGTTTCAGATAATCTGAAATTGTGTTTTGTTCTTATGAATACTAATACTTTTTATATAGAACAAGTGACTATTGCTTACTTTATTTTGTAAAGACATGTTTAATTCAATATTATAAGATTTCAAATTTTCTGTACCTTTGTTGTCAAAGATGAAACATTTGATTTTTGGGTTTCCTGGTGTCTCATACTTATAAGTGGAAAGCTCTTCCTATCTGCTTGTACTGATTTTGTTGAAGAAACTACAGAACAGGTAAATTATATGTAAGGAACCCATTATACATTTGGAAGCAATATTAATTTTAAAGATAACACTGAAGTATGTAATTTAATAACAAATTGCAGACATTTCCTAAAAAAATTCCATATATGTATAACATTTACTAGTTTCCTGCCACCCACCAATCTGTCTTGCTTTGTGTTATTTTGGTCACAAATGTTATAATGATTACAAGACAAAGGCAAATGTATAACAGGGAACTTGTCGATAGCCATCCACTGATTGCAGAGACATGTTTAAACATGTTTTATTTGAATGAAGTACACCCAGGTATCTGGAAGCCTAGTTGCAATACTTTTTGACTCATGCTCTTTTCAGTTTCACTATTCTTCTAGAATCATTCTAGAAATGACCAATACAATAATTTTTTAAAGTATTCATTATTTTTACTACACAGATTAGGAAAATATGACTAGATATTTAAAAATAGATTTTGAGGAAAAGTAATTAAAACGTACCTTTTGGATAATCATCTGTGTCATGTAAATTTTTAAGTATTCGATTAGTATAGATATTTTTAATTTCAAGCTCTCGAGCTTTCTCCTAAAAAGAACCACAATACCAGATATTCTATAAATACTTGCTTTTGTCAACCTTGATTTCTTTTACAAAACAATTTAGTGAACTTGGTATTCTTCAAATAAAATCTATAGATCTGAACAGAAATAAAAATAGGTCATGCCACTGTATTTTGTTGTTGTTAGTGCAGTTGAGTTGGTTCCAACTCATAGCGACCCTGTATAGAGTTTCCGAGGAGCAGCGGTGAGCTTGGACCACCAACCTTGCAGTTTAAACCAACCTAGTAGTCCAGCACATTAACCCAAAGAGCCACACAGGACTCCATGCCACTATATGTTGTTGTTGTTGTTATGTGCCGTGGAGTTGGTTCCGACTCATAGTGACCCTGAGCAGTGTTTCTGAGGCTATAAATCTTTACTGGAGCAGAAAGCCTCATCTTTCTCCCATGGAACAGCTGGTACTTTTGAACTGCTGACCTTGTGGCTCACAGTCCGATTCGTAACCACTACATTACCAGAGCTCCTTTATAGGCAGTCCAATTTAGGACAACTGGTACTTGCCTTTTAATGTTATGTAAATTTACCCTTTGAAACAATGGGATCAATCCCTGTTGTTAAGTGCCTTCAAGTCATAGTGACCCTATATAGGGTTTTCTGAATCCTGGTTACGCACCATAGGATAAGCACTTGATTTTAAGGCCGGTTTGAAGTGCTAGGTTGGCAATTCAAACTCACCAGCCACTCCTTGGGAATACAGGAATATAACTTGTTCATAATCCTGGGGCTGCCTGACATCACAAAGTACCAGCTTTGTTATCAAAGTAGCAAACTGTTATAATGGGGAGCATATTTTTGAAAGACCTTCCATGCCAGCTTCTTCCACTGTGTTCTTTGGCCCCCTGGGCCTGTGTTGTGAAGGTCATTGCCCCTCTGCCTGGTTAGTTCAGTAGTCGTTTGCCACACATCCATATAGAAATTAGTTAAAGTTGAATACAATTAAAAATTTAGTCCTCAGTCATACTAGCTATATTTCAAGTGCTTAACAGCAAGCGAACTGTGACTGGTCACAAGGACAGTGCAGAAACTTCTATTAGATAAGGTTCTTCCATCTTGGTAATGCACATGACATGGGAAAGCCTAGAAAAGAGGAGGCCGTTGTTCAGCTTTACATTTCAGTGTTCACTGTTTTGAGTTTTGGCAAAACAAAAGTTTTGAAATTCAGGCTTGTTGAGAAAAAAAAAAAAAAAA